ATTTTTTTTTAAAATTATTTTAATCAAAATGGCTGCTTATCTTTTGCGCAAAAGATTGATTCCTCAGTGCAACGTTCAGCTGAAAACATTTCCATTCAATTATACTAAAAGAAAACAAACACAGATGTACTTCCGCATTTTATTTTTTTTGCATGATAATAATGTAATATTAATTCTTTGTTTACTAAATACTATTGATTTTTGTGCTAAATTGTTGTTTTATCAGGTCTAATCTCCGATCATAATGAAACGTCATATTATTTATCTTTTTCGAAAGTTTGATGGCGTTCCATGAATAGTAGCGATCGCTTTAGGAACCTTATTACAATAAATATTAATCTAAATAGGAAGAAGTGTAGGTTTATTATAACAGAAGAAATTTAGTATATTTATGAATCATTATCAGTCTGTCATTGGGAAATAATGATATCAGTTCCAAAGACCTTAAGAAAGACCTTAATCAAAGACCTTAATTCCACATAATATTTAAAGTTATAATGGAATAACATTTCGAGTTAATTGAGGTTTTTTTAAATTTAAAAGAAAACTTCGACAACATTTAAAAGCATGACAGGATGCTTGTCAAATAATTAATAGAAATGTTTGGATTTTTTTTTTGTACAATTGGTTTAAAGCATGCAGAATCATATTATTAAATCAAAAATAAAACGTTAAAGCATAAATTTTGTAATTTTAAATATCAAAACACAAAATGTTTTTGGAAAATTGCCTAAATAGTTTATAAAAAGTTTAATTTTTTAAAAAGCTCTATTTTTCAAATTTTAATTTCGTAAAACTTATTCGATAGACTCCACTTAAAATTTGGATTTTGTAATTGAAAGTTATATTGCGTAAAATGGGGTAAAAATTTACCCACTTAACAGCTAACATTTGTACACTTAACTTCAAAAAAATTGTTCGAATATTATTAAAGTAAACAATTATAAAAAAGAAAANGTTAAAGCATAAATTTTGTAATTTTAAATATCAAAACACAAAATGTTTTTGGAAAATTGCCTAAATAGTTTATAAAAAGTTTAATTTTTTAAAAAGCTCTATTTTTCAAATTTTAATTTCGTAAAACTTATTCGATAGACTCCACTTAAAATTTGGATTTTGTAATTGAAAGTTATATTGCGTAAAATGGGGTAAAAATTTACCCACTTAACAGCTAACATTTGTACACTTAACTTCAAAAAAATTGTTCGAATATTATTAAAGTAAACAATTATAAAAATTTTTTTTTAAAGTATGTTATACATGACACGGGTTTGGGATAAACGAATTTCATAATTGTATGGAGAAAAAAAAATTTGATTTGCAAAATTTATTTTAGATATCTGACTGATTTCTCCTCTAAGCCATTAGATTGCGACCGAATTGCCACAACCCTCTCCCTTTATCTTGAGGGTTATCAATCCAAGTCTCTTGGAAGGAAAAGAAAAAGAAAAACAGAGTGGTTATCTTAAAAAAGTACAAAACGCAAATAAAAAAAGTGCCTGAGAAATTGAATTTCAAAAAAAATTCAGATTAAAATTTGATTTCTAAGGCCATTCGCTCAAATTTTGTATTTTGCCATGCAAATTACCTTCTTTAAAATTTTTCAAAATATTGTACACCTTACATTTCAAAAAATTTTCGACCATAATTGAATAAATTAATAAATGTTTACTAAAAATTATTTTTTGCATGGGATTATCTTTGGATAAACGAATTTTATAATTGTGTGCAAAAGTTATTCAATTCGCTTAAAAAGTTCTTGAGATATAGCGAAATACGCAAAAAGTAAAATTAACATTGAGAGATTCAAACTTTGGATCGCTCTCCTGAACAAACTATTGGAACCATATTTCTCAGATTGCAACGATCCCCTATATTTCACGGGTTAAAAATCCGAATCTGTCAAAAAAATGCATGTGTATTCAGAGAAAGCATGTTTTTGTGTCTGATTTAGTAATTTAAAATATCGTCTGCAATTAAAATTTTGCATATTTGAGCCCCACCCCCTCCTCCTGCCATTAAGATTGAGTCCCAGAGCGTGAAGAACCGAACATTAGATCAAAAGTTACTCAAGGTAATCCATTCTTTCTTTCTTTTTTTTGCGCATTGTACATCTAACTACGTATCTGATTTTCTAACTAACAATTATTTCTGTCTTCACAAATTAGTTATTATAATTAAAGTTAGACCCTCGAAACAATTAAAATTACGCTTTAGTACTTGAAAATCGGATCACTAGATGAAAAGTTTTTATTTTATGGCCGTCGTTGAGCAGCAGACCCAAGCTTTGGATTTACGACTACTAATGTTCAACTCCGTAGCCTTGTAATTTGAACCTAATCCAAAAGACAAGGGAACTCCTGGATTCAAGTATTAGAAGAAATTTGCTTTTGTGGAGGACGTTTGATGGAACTAACCCGCATTTGCGTTACACGGAGAGGAAGATCACAGAACTTCACTCGGTTAGTCTGATGGCAAGGAGACTCTAAGCCATGATCCCTCTAGTACTGAGGACATTTCATGTCAGCACTGTAGTTGGTGCAAGCCGGAGGAGGAATTCGTGTCGACCAACCGTCGCTGGGATTCGAACCCGGTTCACCTCGTTGGAAGGCGAAAGCTCTATCCCCTGAGCCATCACGGCTTTCAAATCAAAAGTTATCAGGCTGTTTCTCTCTTTTTTTTTCTTTCTTTTTTTTTACCCACACTATTTGTAGAATTTACTGATAATCTTTTTTAAATGCTATCATATTAAACAAAACAATGGCTAAAGTCAAAATTTAACTTGAATAAAACGGCTGTTTATGTTACCCTTGAAGAGGAGTAATTGTGAATTACCGAAATTGTGACAAGGGGAGAAGGTAACAAGAAGTGACAGCTTATAGCTTGTCTACGGTAAGAACTCCCCCCGCCACAAAGTCTGAAGCCGCCTGCTGCTATGGAAACAAGAATAGCTCATTTCAGGGAGGGTAGTTTCTCTTCACTCTAGAGCTAACGCAATAGATCGAAGAAAAATATTCCCTTTCTCTCACTGACTCGAATCAAAACCTGTCCTAAAGTGTGACCTCACACCCCTACTTTAAATAGTCATGCTTCGTTACCATAGTCACCACCAGAGGTCCAGACGTATGGCTAAGGGAGCTCTTACTTTAGACAAACTATACATTTTGCTTAAAATAATAACATCAAAAATAGGACATTTTTTTATGTCAAATTAAGTACGCATTGTCAAAGCTCAAAAATAAAATTCGAAGCATGATCGTGCACAGCGTGAAAGCTTTGTTTCTGATTATGTCATATGGCCTGAAATCTACCTAAAAGGGGGTGAGGAAGTGTAATAAAGTGTGACACTTTGTGATAGAGGGGAGGAGGTTTTAAAAGTATTGAAACATTTGTGACATCATTCATGAGCACCTTTAGAGAAAAACAATGAACACAGAAAAAAAAATTTACGCGAGCTACACTGATTATATGCCTGCAGTTTCAGCACAAATGGGAATTTATCGCAAGTATACAAAATTTTATCCACGTGCTGATCAATGCTAAAGGACAAATTTACGGTAGCCGTCAGCCCATCACCACCCCCAGGATAACTTAATGTTGCAATTGGCGGTTAAAAAAGTGTCTGCTTATTGCCACTTTTTTCATCGATCATGTTTTATTATTATAAATATGGATTCATTATGAACATTTTATAATACACTGAAAATTACTTTATTTCCTGATCGTTTCGTAACATAATCTTATTTTATAAATGAACCACATTTTGAGATATGCTTTAAGAGAAATTCCTTAAATTATTAATATTAACAGTTTCTTAATTATTTAAAATTTTCTATTTTGAAAGAGATATATTTCCATAGATAAAAATTCTATAAATGACCACTAGCCATTGGCTAAATATCCTAATTTAATCCTATGGGTAATCGATCAATGTTAGAAAAAATGCAAATCTCTTTAGAATATATTTGTACCGATGTTGCGTCAATCCGCCACGTGCAATTCGTCGGAGCGACAGTTGGTCGTGGTTTCAATTCGTCACGGTCATAATTCGTCGCTGCGATAATTCTCGGTAAGCACAATTCACCGCGGCGATAATTCATCGTCAGCACAATTCGTCGCGGAGTCGATTCGTCGTGGTTATAATTCGTCGCTGCGATAATTCTCGGCTTGCATAAATCGCTGCGGTAACAATTCATCTTGAGCACAATTCGTCGCGGCGATAATTCGTTGTGATCACAATTCGTCGAGGGCACAATTCGTCCTGATCACAATTCGTCGAGGGCGCAATTCGTCGAGGGTGCAATTCGTAGTGATCACAATTCATCGCGGCGATAATTCGTCGTGATCACAATTCTTCGAGGGCACAATTCATCGAAGGCACAATTCGTCGTGATCACAATATATCGAGGGCACAATTCATCGTAATCACAATTCATCGAAGACACAATTCGTTGGGATCACTATTCGTCGATGACACAGTTCATCGAAGGCACAATTCGTCGTGATCACAATTCACCGAGATCATAATTCGTCGTGATCACAATTCATCGAAGGCACAATTCGTAGAGGGGACAATTCGTCGTGATCACAATTCACCGAGATCACAATTCGTCGTGATCACAATTCATTGAGGGCGCGATTCACCGAGATCACAATTCGTCGCTGCGATATTTCGTTGTGATCACAATTCGTTGAGGGCACAATTCATCGTAATCACAATTCGTCGAGGGCGCAATTCGTCGAAGGGACAATTCGCCGTAGCGACAATTTGTCGCGAGCACAACTTACTTAAGGTTTCGTTGAAATTCATCTATTTCATCGAAAATATAGTTTTTACCGTGTTCGATTCATTAAATTTTTATTCTTATTTTTCACTTCTAAATTCTCAAACTAAACTTTCACTTCCTTTGACTCATTTTCGCGATGAAGATAAAGGATACAACAAAAAAATTCGACTCCATGAATTTTGTTGTTTCAAGAAGACCTTTGTCCATAATAAATGCTGATAACAGGCTGCGGTGTTTGCAAATGGTGCCGCGGAAGATAACACTCTGTAAAACACCGTTATATTTTGAATCGAACAAAAACGTTCTTGGAAAAGAGAATGCGTATCCTAGCCCTGTGGTTCCACGACTTACAAAAATCGTTTGAAAAGTTAAAGGATGTCGGATGAAAGACGTTTAAAATTCATTGTTTTCTGTAAAAAAACAATAACGATTACGTAGTGCCATTTTTTTTACAGATAATTAAGGAAAAATTAGTAAGTTTTTTTGTTTTTTGTTTCTTTTCTCTGAATAAGGTTCTTCTTCTCAAGAAAATATATATAGTTCAATTTAATTTAATTTTTTTAAATATATATGTATACATATTTACTGTCGTGTTTTACGACTTTCAAAAATCGTTGCAAAAACTGAGGGATTTTAATAAAAGTCGTTTAAAATTTTTTTTCTTCTCTTTTTTGTAATAAAAAATAATAACGATAACGTAGTGCCATTTTTTACAAATAATTGTAAGGAAAGTTTAATAAGTTTCTAGTATTTTGCTTATTTTTTCTGAATACGATTCTTCTTTTCAAGGAAATTTAATAATATTATTGTCGATATTGTCTATCTGAGTAATGTTTAGGGCTAAATTCCCCACATTCGAGGAATATTATTCTTTGACAAACAGACTTTCCAGATAATAATTTGGGTTATAACTTCCGGACTACTTGTTATTTGATGAACAGCCTATCTAAGCAATGTTTAGGACTGCACTTTCCGATACTTGTAGTTTCATGAATAGCCTATAATACTCCGAATTGTATTTTTGTCATCTAATGAACAGCCTATCTAAATAATGTCTGACTACACTTTCCGATACTTGTAGTTTCATGAACAGCCTATAATACTCCGAATTGTATTTTTGTCATCTAATGAACAGCCTATCTAAGTTATATTTAGTACTACACTTTCCGATACTTGTAGTTTCATGAATAGCCTATAATACTCCGAATTGTATTTTTACCATCTAATGAACAGCCCATCTAAGTAATGCTTAGGACTGATGCAACTTTCCGATACTAGTAATTTCGTGAACTCTATCCAATAAGTAATATTTGGGGCTATATTTCCCCAAATTGCATTTTGTCATTTGATGAACAGCCTATCTAAGTAATATTTAGAACAATGCTTGTAATAATGTGATGAACAGACTATCTAAGTCACGTCCAAATAAATACGCCAAGCGTCTTTTGTCGTATTTTGGTATACGACATTAATTTACTATAGGGAACCGATTATCCGGAACGATCGGGACCATCGCTATTCCGGATAACTGATTTTTCCGGTTTTCTGAATCGCTACAAAAAGCCGTTTTTTTATTGTTAAACCCAACTAAAAAAAATAATATTTGGAAATAATCTTAAAAAGAAGAAAAAACGAAGTAATACACTAATGATTATTTCCAAAATGATAGTAAGGTAAACATCTTTCCAAAAAGAAAAAAAAATCCTAAAATCTTATGAGGAAAAAAAAATTTTTTTTTTAAATGGCGGGAAAATTTATCGAATTTCGTTCCGGTTTTTTGGTTTTCCGGTTTTCTGATTTCCGGATAACGGGTTCTGTACTGTATTTCTTTTTCTAACACTTGACCTTGGAAATGATTTACTCTACTTTTCAACACCAAATAGAATATAAGGATTGCCCAAATAAAGAATGGACGCAATTGAAGCCGTCTGAAATATAGTAGTAATAGCAGCTCGCTCAGAATTGAACAACATACAGTATAATACAATATTAAATTGCAAAAAGAGAACGTTATGAAGACGTTTATTGTTGAATGCTTGTTTACGGCAAACAATGTCTAGGACAAACAGGTGTGAATAAATGCTGCGTAAAATTTCGCGAAGAGTGTTCATCAAATTCGAATCTGCCAAGAACCAGAAAGAATAAACGACATGGTCTTCCACGAATCCATTTCTAAAAAGATTTGTGGTTATTATTTTCGCGCATCTCTGCAACATTTCCTGCCTTTAAAAAATCGTACTATTTTGGGTTGTCATGTTTTGGGATCATCTTTCTTGGTTCGATATTACTATCTTTAGTTAATCAGTTATGCGCTCGCTCAGAATGCAGTTTAATCAGTTATGAGCTCACTCAGAAAGCAGTTTAATCAGCTATGCGCTCACTCTAAATGCAGTTTAATCAGTTATGCGCTCACTCAGAATGCAGTTTAATCAGTTATGCGNATACTTGTAGTTTCATGAATAGCCTATAATACTTCGAATTGTATTTTTTCATCTAATGAACAGCCTATCTAAGTAATGTCTAAGACTACACTTTCCGATACTTGTAGTTTCATGAATAGCCTATAATACTTCGAATTGTATTTTTTCATCTAATGAACAGCCTATCTAAGTAATGTCTAAGACTACACTTTCCGATACTTGTAGTTTCATGAATAGCCTATAATACTTCGAATTGTATTTTTTCATCTAATGAACAGCCTATCTAAGTAATGTCTAAGACTACACTTTCCGATACTTGTAGTTTCATGAATAGCCTATAATACTTCGAATTGTATTTTTTCATCTAATGAACAGCCTATCTAAGTAATGTCTAAGACTACACTTTCCGATACTTGTAGTTTCATGAATAGCCTATAATACTTCGAATTGTATTTTTTCATCTAATGAACAGCCTATCTAAGTAATGTCTAAGACTACACTTTCCGATACTTGTAGTTTCATGAATAGCCTATAATACTTCGAATTGTATTTTTTCATCTAATGAACAGCCTATCTAAGTAATGTCTAAGACTACACTTTCCGATACTTGTAGTTTCATGAATAGCCTATAATACTTCGAATTGTATTTTTTCATCTAATGAACAGCCTATCTAAGTAATGTCTAAGACTACACTTTCCGATACTTGTAGTTTCATGAATAGCCTATAATACTTCGAATTGTATTTTTTCATCTAATGAACAGCCTATCTAAGTAATGTCTAAGACTACACTTTCCGATACTTGTAGTTTCATGAATAGCCTATAATACTTCGAATTGTATTTTTTCATCTAATGAACAGCCTATCTAAGTAATGTCTAAGACTACACTTTCCGATACTTGTAGTTTCATGAATAGCCTATAATACTTCGAATTGTATTTTTTCATCTAATGAACAGCCTATCTAAGTAATGTCTAAGACTACACTTTCCGATACTTGTAGTTTCATGAATAGCCTATAATACTTCGAATTGTATTTTTTCATCTAATGAACAGCCTATCTAAGTAATGTCTAAGACTACACTTTCCGATACTTGTAGTTTCATGAATAGCCTATAATACTTCGAATTGTATTTTTTCATCTAATGAACAGCCTATCTAAGTAATGTCTAAGACTACACTTTCCGATACTTGTAGTTTCATGAATAGCCTATAATACTCCGATTTGTATTTTTACCATCTAATGAACAGCCTATCTAAGTAATGTTTAGGACTGACGCAACTTTCCGATACTAGTAATTTCGTGACCTCTATCCAATAAGTAATATTTAGGGCTATATTTCCCCGAATCGGATTTTGTCATTTGATGAACAGCCTATATAAGTAATATTTAGAACAATACTTGTAATTTGATGAACAGACTATCTAAGTAATATTTAGAACAATACTTGTAATGTAATGAACAGACTATCTAAGTCACGTCCGAATAAATACGCCAAGCGTCTTTTGTCGTATTTTGGTATACGACATTAATTTACTATTTCTTTTTCTAACACCTAAACTTGGAAATGATTTACTCGATTTTTCAACACCAAATAGATTATAAGGTTTGCCCAAATAAAGAATGGACACAATTGAAGCCGTTTGAAAAATAGTAGTAATTGCAGCTAGCCCAGAACAGAACAACGCACAGAGTAGTATTATTTTAAATGACAGAAAGTGAGCGTTATGCGAACATTTATTGTTGAATGCTTGTTCACGGCAAAAATTTCTAGGACAAACGGCTGTGAACAAATGCTGCAAACGATGTGGTATGAACTCAACAAGTAGTTGGAAGCCTCTTGCTGGAATATTCAGCCATGCAGCCTCAAAATATGTCCATAATTGCGAAAGTGTTGCGGGGGCAAGATTTTGTGCACGAACTGACCTCTCAATTATATCCCATAAATGCTCTTTAGGCGGTCAAAACATTTGCTGGAATAAAGAATGGACACAATTGAAGCCATCTGAAAAATAGTAGTAACTGATTAGGCGGTCAAAACATTTGCTGGAATTGTCAAGAATGTCCTTTAAATGAGTTGCAAGCCATTAAAGCCTGGTGTGCGTGGCACATTGTCATCTATGCAAATTTCGTTGTTTGGATACATGAGTCCATGAAGGGTTGCGAGTGGTCCCCGAGTAGCTAAACGTAACCATGTTCGAATTCCAGCGATGACTAGAAGATATAAATTCCGCACCCGGCTAGCACCGACCACGGTGCTGGTGTAAAATACCCCCAGTGGTAGACAGATCATGGGTTAAAGTCCCCTGCCGTCTTTTTGGTAATTTTTTAGATGTGCCATGTAAAATATGTTATATTTTATCTAGACTGTGCAGGAAAAATTTCGTTGGTATTTCCGGCAATTTTCTTAAGAATAATCCGCAAAATTTTTTACAAATTAATTCCTGCTAAAATTGAATTAAAACTAAACTAAGCGGCACGACAGCCCATAGAGTGCCAAGGCCTACTGCCCCAATCTCCGTTTTCTTGATCTTGGGTTCTGGGGTGCAGGAGCTGATGTTCCGGTTAGGTGGTCAGCCGAACGCGGAACCCCCAGTGTTTAGTTCCCAAGCATGCTTGGTACTCATTTATCAACCCACTGATGGGATGAAAAGCCTTGCCTGGTCCGAGAATCGAATTCAGGACCTGTGGCACAGCAGCTCGAATTGAACTAACTAACAAAATCTTGCCATAAAGTATAGAATTGAAATAATATAAACTTAGATTGGTATTGTTCTTTGAAGATTCGTTCTATGGATTAATGTTTTTATTTTTTTCCCTCAGGCAAATCATAAATTTTTCTATAAAGAGATAACTTAATTATTTCTAATAATATTACGATTTCTTCAAATGTAAAATAACTAAGTCACACAATCTTAAACCGTAGTCCTGAAACATGTAGTCCTGAAAATGTGCTGTAATACAATGTGATTTTGTGTTTATGATAATTTTAAAAGTAGTTCTTATATTTTTTTTTATCTAAATGGCATATTATCAATAACAACTTTACTATTT